AATATGCTCATTCTGGAGCATAATGTGTTGATTGTTCCTGCAAGGTACGGCATCCAATTATTCTCTTTCTAATTCAAGTAATGTGGCACTCGATCTTTCATCAATTTGCAGAAGTAAACCAAATTCCGGTTTATATGCCGTGCCTTGTGTGTAGGGCATCATCGTTCTTTTCCTAAATTAAAATGTCGAAAACAATTTTTTGAAGCGGGTGCCCACAGAAGATCTATCAAAGATGTAATCGTTCAATTTTAAAGAATTAGAAGGGATGTGTACAATGATTGTTTATTCACAATCCATTGTACCGTTATTTTTTACATTCTCCTTTCACTTCGGTTTCGGCCAGCAATCAGTAGAACCTTTAATATACATATATCGATATATTTGTATATATCGATAGCAAATTTGATGCTTTTGGTAAGACCGAGAGGTTTACCGAGGGACTGTGAAGATTTTGGGGTTGAATCACCTAATACTTGAAAGAGTTCACCTTGTTTGGGTCAACACTCTACTGTGAGCATTACTATCTATGTACTAGTGTTACACACCTACACACTAAAATATTCTAATATGTGCTCGTAGTATTAGGTGTTTCAGAAAGTTCTGTCGTTTTTCAACGCTCAACTTTCAATGCACATTTCTCGGCTCAAACAAAACTTTATTAATCGAAATAAGAACCATTGTTATCTACACACTTTTGCCAACGAACAACAAGTTTGCTTATCCCGGTTGCAAAAAATTCTGGAGACCTAGAAGCGATGAAATCGAGGAAGGTCGATTCGACATCGTGTCGGGTGTTGAAGCGCTTCTCTCGGAGGAAGTTGTCGAGGTGCTTGAAAAAGTGGTAGTCGGTTGGAGCGAGGTCGGGTGAGTATGCAGGGTGTGGCAGAGTTTCGTAACCGAGCTCGTTCAGCTTCTTCAGGGTGGTCTGTGCGACGTGGGGGCGCGCGTTGTCGTGGAGAAGGATCGGCCCCTTCCTGTTCACCAATCCAGGGCTCATGAGCCGCAACTTCCGGTGCATTTCGTCGATATCCTGACAATATCTTTCAGCTGTGATGGTTTCGCCTGGATCCAAAAAGCTGTGACGGATTAAACCAGCCGCTGACCACCAAACTACCACCATCACCTTCCTTGACTGCTGTTTCAACTTCGGAAAATGTTGCGGAGCCTGACCCTTGTCCAACCACTGCCCAGAACGTCGCCGATTGTCGTATAGAATCCACTTCTCGTCACAAGTTACTATACGGTCCAAAAAAGGGTCGTTTTTGTTTCGG